GCATGACGGTTCCACTAGTAAGATACGTACTAGCGCTAACACAAAACTACGACAGCCTAGTCGCCGAAACTGAACATCGTTTGCATGCAAAAATCGTTCTGTTCGAATCGACAATAGCGCATTCCGCACCTCATCCGTCTCTTCTAATTGCTGCCTCAAAGCCAAGGAAATGAGCCAGACGTTCACACTGCCAAGCAGTACTAGAAACCTTGAGAACCACTAACCAAGTCGTCATCGCGACCGATAGAAGCATGCCAAGCCCCACCGCTCACATCCTCTTATCCAACATATCAACTGATGCAACATCGGTAACACCCACCCTTCCGATTGACAAACGAAATCCGAAGCGCTCTAAAGACCCATACATCTATGCAACCGTTGCTGCTCGGTATAATCAAAGTGCGACCTCAGTAGCCTCACCCAGTACAGCTGATGAAGGACCGGGTGTAATGTGCAGAGAGGTCACTAAATCCCTCGATAACCGTGCTTCCCACATCACCGAAGCCCAGGCGAAACTACGGGGCCTTGACACTCATATGCACCGACTTTCCTGAGTCCAAGGCTAAATCCTTAAGTGGTAAACAGCTGGATGATTTAAAGCAATGGAATTTCATTTGTGATAAAATTGGCTTTCAAGCCAGTCGGATTACTATAATGTGCATCACTAAACATCCAACCCAGAATCATTATGGGTAGTCCCGGTTAATGCGAGTAACATTGGGATCAACAGATGATGTCCAGATGGTGTTTATGTCGGCATGCCGTCTGACGACTGGAAACAATGTAATACGCATAGTTCGGGATGTTCAATGGAGCGAATGCCAGCGGGACAAAGATAATTCAAACGACCACCACACGGAGAGTAGCAAAATAGCTACCTTCGTTCATGGCGTGGCCGAGGTACCTACAACCAGCCCAGGCTCATGACCTGGAAGAAAGGCGCTACATCCGTGAAGCTCTCTGTGCAGGCAATGTCACACATCAGTCGATTACACAGTTACCCGTGTCGCCAAACTACAGAGGCAGTGGCCTGAGGATACTGAAACTAACAATGCAATCACAACAGATGACCGGGAACTTAATCCGTAGCTGGCAGTTAATGCGCATCACACTTCCTTCTGAACTACGACTGAAGACAGCAGTTAGAGAGCCACAGCCACTCGCTGTTCTCGCGGAAACGACACCACCCGCGACTCAGCATAACCACAACAGCGATTCAGAAACCTGTGCACTAAGACCCGTAGCTATCCAGATGGCTACCGATGGACTATATACCGCAGTTACATGTGAGGCCAAAAGCAGATTGCATTCCTATCTTAATTTGGCAATTCACCGAAATAACGTTTAGTAGCCGGCCTCTCATCGGGCGGCACAAATCCACATTATTCATGTGCTCTTAGTCAACAGCGTTTGACGTCCGAGAAGCTTTCCTCTATGTACACAAACGCTCAAGCCTTACTCCGTAAACTTTTCGAAATGCGGCTGATTCAAGTAGCAAACTCGTTGCTGTAACGGAGACATGGTTACGCCTGACATAAGTGACATGGAGATCGCACTGCCAGGCATGTCTATTGTTCGGCACTACCGACCTATCAAAAGAGGAGCGATGGCTCTGTACTTCCGCAATGATCTCCAATTTGAGTTCATATAGGATACGGTCAGCAAGGTTAAAGATTCCCATTGATGCCATCTACGTTTAAAATGGGACGACACCTGCTTAGTGGCTGTCATTTACCGCCTTGCTTCCTCCACTCCCGAGATGGACTCCCATCTAGCATCCACGAGATGGCGGGTGATAAACATAACTTACAGTCACATTCTCATTACTTGCGATTTCAACATCCACGCTCTGGAATCCCAAGCATCTCCCAGAGGACAGTTTAAAGCCGATCTACAAGCGTTTATCTCCAGTTACCCTCTGTATGGCCACATCAACACTCCCACCCGATTCCGAGCAAATGATAAGCCTTCTATACTGAATCTGATATTCTCCAACGAAAAACTAATGGTCGTGAGGGTGCTCGTCGTCTTCCCATTGGGCCGCAGCGATCATGCAGTACTACTCATGGAATATATTTGCTGTGCAGAAAATCTCGTGGAAATTGCCGACGCAACGAGAAGGTATGTACGCTACGACATATTAGCTCGACTGGGTGAGACAACCAACTGGGCATTTCTGACAGACGAGGAACCAGCTAGTGAATGAGAACATTACATCGGCCAGTTTAACTCTTTGGTTGCCGAAGCGTCAGCGACTAAATACTTCCGCCTGAGAAAAGCGGTCTCGTTACTGCGAAGTAGGATATGCAATTGTATAGCAGTGTGAAACTCAGCCTAGCATATCTACAAACTCTCCCCAAGCACCGAAAACTGAATTTCCTATGCGACCCAACGTAACCACTGTACTCAGCTTGTTCATAAGGCTAGAATGGCGTACCAGCAGAAGTGGGCAGTTCGTATGACCACAAACCACAAGATTCTGTATCGACGCATCAACAGTCTAGGTAAGGTGAAACGGGGGATTCCTCCTCTTCTAACAGTGGACGGATCCACACGGACATCGAAAGAGGCGGCGAATACCCTGCGCCTACAATATGCTGCAACATTTCCGTGCAATCACTGATCACCTAACCCTTTGACGATGGTTGTTTTATCTTCAATACTCACTCACATATCCTTCACACCAGAAGTTGAACTATGAAATCTATTGAGTATGCTTATGCGCAGCTCTCCTGTGGTTGAGAATCGACACACACCAAATCGCTAGCGGCAGTAGGAGAGAGTTAAGCAGAGCTTTTCGCTCTATTCTTCTAACACTGTATTTAAGAAATGTACCTACCCGACTTGTGAAAACACGGGATGATTACTCCTGTTCACAAGAAGGTAGTCGTTACAAACCAGTCAACTACGTTCTCATAATCTTATCATCTGTGTTCTCAAAGGTCGTAGAACCTATCATTTGTGATGCGCTAACGGCCTACTGGGAAGAATTTAAATACCTCGCCTGGGAACAGCATGGCTTCCGACGAAATTGATCCTGCAATACAAACCTACTATTGGCACGATGCAGCTGGACTGAAGCAATAGACTCTGACACAGGAGTTTATGTTTTCTTTCTCGACTTCTCAATGGCGTTCGACCGGTTAGACCATGACATTCTGCTCCTCACACTCCAGACCTTGGCTATTGGTGATCCACTCCTAGGGTGGATCAGCCGCTTCCTTCTGCACCGGCGCCTGGAAGTTCGTGTGCGTGAATCGCTGTCAGATCCCGTCCAAGTTGAATGCGAATTAACACAGCGATAGGTACGATATCATGAGCACCATAAGTTAGAGCTGCCTTATTTATGCCAATGAGGTCAAGGTGCGGTGGGCGATAAATACACCGGGTGCTATCCCAGTATTTCAGGCTGCTCTGTATAGAGTATATGCGTGGTCGATCCAGAATCTACTTCGATTCAATGTGAACAAATGTACAGTGCTCCACCTACTGCACAAGTTGGTGCACTCCTACAAACTCGGTAAGCAAGAACTTCACACGTCTTCTTGTAAGAGTAATCTGGGAGCTTTTGTCCATGTCGACCACGGATTTTCGTAGCATGCTGAAACGGCGTCTAAGAGGCGCATCCAGCATGTGGACCTCCTAAAGTGTGCATTCGCACGATTCGACTCTTCGATTTTTCCACAATTTATCGGCTCGTACATACGGCCACAGGTGGAATACGCAATACAGGTTAGGCATACCTGGCTGAGGGGAGATCTCACTGCCTTGGAGATACCCCGACGCTGGGTAAGCAAGAATGTCAATGGTCTGTATAAGTTGACGTATGAACAGAGTCAACAAGTGCTCGAGGTCTTCAGCGGGCGCCATCGGCGACTGCGCGTGGACCTTATTTTGACTTACAAAATTGGTGAGATCCTAACCACACGCGTGCCGCTACTTGCTAGAGCTCAGTCACAAACTCAATTTGAGAGGCCACCATCTCAAACTGGCAGTGCTGTACAGTCGCTTGGAATGCCTTTGGAATTTATTTTCCGTACGCGTTTTCCATACGTGTAATGCCCTACCGCAATCCACTATATGTGCTCCCACGCTTGCAGAGTTCAAAGGCTGAGTTGATCGTGCACTTATTTCGCTGCACCATCTTACATGACCCATTACCCAAAGATAAATGACATTGCATGATATTTCACTGGCGGTCAAATCACAGATTTCGTTCCACGTCTTTCACCTCCTCTATGTGTACACTTGAAGAAGACATGATTTGTACCAATATCCCATTTGCTGTCATTTCTTATGGACTAACTTTGGATTTACAGTTATACTACGTATACTACAGTGAGTGCACTGGTGTAAAGCCAATTTTGTTTATAATATTTGTATATTTTAAAGTTTCACCACAACCATGCTATGGGACCTACTTTTTTACCCATATAAGACGATCGTTCCGTTGTCCATTGCTTCGGCTATCAGTTGTCCGACATGTGCTAGTTCAGTTACTAACACGTTTATGTGGTCTATTAAGCACGCCTGAATGGTGGCCTCTAAATTGTTCGGCTTTCTTGTTGCAACGAATTATGGGACACTGGGTTGACTTAGTCTAGAGAAATCTCTGGCGCCTTAAGCGAGCCGAAATGCGTTTGCTATAACTGCACGAAGTATTGCGTCAGTACACTCTCCCAAGAACACAGATTTGATAATGTATTTCTTGAATAAAGCCACTTGACTTGTACAATTTACCCAAATTCGCAGGGCTGCTGAGCTGTACTAAGCATTTTTATCCGCATTATACCACTGACATTGCATTGACCATAAGTTATTAGATATGATGCGAATCACTGTTGCACGAAGTCAACTAGCTTAACCTTGGACTAACTTAACCGAAATGAGTCAACTGTCTTGTGCTCTTTTGCTCGAATAACCGATAACTCAGTAGTTAAAACTTCAATGCGTCACTCGGAACAAAACAAATAAACTTCAGCACGATTCTGTTTACTTACCTTCATTGTAAGCCTTCTTCAGCATTAGTATTTCTGCATTGTTACAACAGCATATAATTCCATTGAGTGCAGTTGTGTTCGTTCCGCTGCCTTTCATCCCTTTGTATAGATCATAAGCAAGAATCTTCGCATGACCACGGAATAAGGTTTGCAGTAGACTATCGTAATCACCCTTCGAGTTCGACTTGAGCACGTCAACCAAATCCTACAGGCAAATGATATACGATGGAAGTAGTGAGGTCATCATTATTCTGGTGTCATTGTTTTATGGAAGCACAATTCACTAAGCAGGACTTTACTTAACTATACTTCATGGATTATGAACCAGAAACATGGTACTAAACTGCGTCGATGCACAATAGTACATGAAGGCTTTTGCACCGAGAGGAGATGCTTCACGCCGTATTGGGCGATCAAGATGAACAGTTGTCCACTCAGTTGCGCCTCGCTTATTCGCTTTCATATATGAGGTTGGTGTTGCAGCATGCTGCAATCTGTAACGGGACAGAGACAAAAAGATCCATATGCAAGCAGTGCACAGGGATTTACTTCCGAATGCGTTGCATATTGGACTGCGTACTCATACAGACTTTGACAGCTTTTACATGATTGTAAGCGTTGGTACGCCATCGGGGATTGTGTTCTTAATCTCTGTAGCCATGTTCGTTTTCGAGCGCTTGTTTGTATTTATTTTAGTTACAATATTGTGAGTTATAGGTATGATTCTTGAAGTAGACTATAATCAGAAATACACGTGGAAACCGAATCTCAACTGTAAGGCCATGGAAAATGAGCAAAATATCGTTGTACGTGGCTTGGATGCCAAGGTGGTGCGGTGCATCAAAGTGTCATTTAAATGCAGTTGACAGCTGACAGCGTTAAAGCCGCGTTCAATTTATTGGGAGCGAAGCTATACATAAACAAGTACCATCGCATACCGGTCGTTTTATTTTGTGCTCTGTGTTAACGTGAACTTATCACTTCACATTTTTGCGACACATTTTCGGATCCATGCTTAATCGATTCAGATCAACGAGCTCTATCCATCGGTGCCTATCTGATCCGCCACAAACAACCTCCTCGGCAGTTTATTTGCTATGACCTACGCGTGAAACCTTGCTTTTTGAGTTTCTTCAGTGTCTTTGAGATACCCTTCCACAGAGCTTCTTTAAGGCAACCAGATAAGACACAACTTTGTGTGGGTTTTTCACTGCTTCCAGAGCTGAATGATTATTTTGCAGACCTTTCGTTGTCAGATTAGGCAACATCCTCAGTGCAGCTTTTAAGGGCCCATTTCGCACAGCCTCGTAAACGATTTCGAGATCTAAGTGCTTTTGATCGAGTGCTTTTTTTGCAATACCACACTTCAAGAAACTCACGTGTTTGTCAGCTTCTGAACATTCCGGGGATGTTGATGTGCTCCAGGTGGAGCTGCATGCACTAGAATGGATAGCATTCCCAATCGCAAAAACGGAACTTTGGGTACGTTACCTAGACGACACTTTCATCATTCGCAAGCTTTCCAAATCAAAGGATACACATGAGATAATCAACAAGGTGTTCGACTGCATCCAGTTCAACAAACAAGAGGAGAACCATGGACGGTTAACGTTTTTAGGCGTTCTCATACGTAGGACTCCTTCTGGATCATTGAAAACAACGACCTATCGAAGATCAGCACATACGGACCGGATCCTCAACTACAACAGCAATCATCTGACAGTCCACAAGCGAGCTGCGTACTAACACTGTTCAAACGAGTACGGACACATTGTAGCACGGCACAGCTGAGGCAGGCGGAATAAGACCACTTTGATCACACGGAATTCCTATCAAAAAGGCCTCATTCTACGATGCTTGGCTCCACCTAAGGCAATACAACACAGCAGAACAAGTGCTCCAGTTGAAAAGCGAGCCTCGTTGCCTTAAATCAATGGAATCTCTGAAATGACAGCTGGACGGTTGTTGCCTTTCGGAGTCAAAATTACCCACCAACCAAAGGAGGCAGTTCGAAACAACCTCTTCAAAATTAAAAATTTGGCGTAATCTAACGCTGTTGCCGAAACTGACAAACACTACGTAGGACAAACAGGAAGAAAGGTTGGCGAACGGCTACATGAACATAGTCAAACTATTCGCCGTCATGATCGGGACTCTTTGATGTTCGTGCGTAGGGATCTCGAAAACCACCGGTGTTGTCACACATTTACAACTGCATTTGTTGCGTGCATTTTGCCGCACAAAGCCTGTTTGATTTTGTCCACCCATGCCCCGAGGACGAACCACTACCAAACATGCTGACACAAAGACTGTTCCCGCTGACCCAGGCAGACAACTGAGGCAAACCAAACGGTATGACCAGCGTGACCTAAAAGTGCGTACGAGCCCCTGACGCATGAGTCGCAGAAGTTTGTCGGCCGGAATAACAAACGCTAGGTCAGTGGTGGCTAAGACAAACGGGTAACAAATGTCCTCCCCGGAGTCACCTGCTCGTTCTTTGCCAACTGCTGCGACGCAACAAAGTTGCAGTTAAAACGTAACGGAAAAAGCACCCTACCGACAAATAGTTTGTGGTTCTTTGAAGTATGTTCGGATAGTCCCATTGTTAGGATTGTTCAAACACTTAATTTAAGGTGTGGAACCTTGTGTTACGTCAGCGGAGCAAATAAACTGGTCGTAGTCTTGGGAGGGAATATCTCTGAACTCCAGTTGTTGATTAGTGAATTATTGAAAGACAAAAATTCCTAGCAAAATGTCACACAGTTCAGCGAGAAAGGCGAACACCATTTGTGACAGACAGCAGTGAGGACAGGCCGCTCGAACGGTCTCCCTTGTCTCACAAAACGCTGCAAGGCGTTCAGATTATCCAGTAAATGCGCCATCATCTCCGTTATTAGCTAGACAACAACATTTGACTTTTACGGTAGACCTGGCCTCTTTTCCAGGCAAGGGAAGAGAAACACGCCGATGCTTCTCTACGCTGCTCAACGCTTCTACACTCTACGTAACTACGCACTGATGATGTCATCTCGACTGGTGACGAAACGTTTACAAACAAATTGCTAAGCTCAGCACACAGTTCAACTACCATCAGAAACACCCTCACAAGCGAACTCTCCGTTCAAAGGGAACCGCAGAACAGCACTTACTACACGACCAACAGACAATGACAGTGATATGTTCAAACGTCCCAGAACCTATTAAAGAATCGGTAAAAGGTAGACAAGCCGAGGAGAAAAATAGCTGGGCTAAGAAAACCTGCGCACTCCGACTGAAAGTTCTGCCAGCTAGTTCACTAAATCCATCATATCCTCAAGTAGAGGAACTTCGGTTACTGCGAGTAACATCTGGCAACACATGCGACTTGGAAGATGTTCTCTTAGTAAGCCACATTCTAGTGAACTCTTCTGTCAGTGACCGCATTTTGCGGACAAGCCATGGGCAAAAAGACAGAAGCGGGAATTCAACCCGAGCACGTGACGTCAACATGAGATCAAGAAAGTGGTTCATGGTGTGCTAGAATTGAGGCATGACATAGCAGTGGGCGACGAAACTACATGGAAAAGGTACATAAAGAGCAATACGACGCGCAAAATGTCATTACTTTTGACGTCCGTCGTCTACTTGCCTTCCCAAACTATCACTTCAAGGGGCCAAAAATTTTGAAGTTAACTTGGCTATACCTGAGATGGTTCAATGGCGATCCTAGTGGCAAGACAACAAGAAAATTGAGCCACCGGAACTACGGTTAAGACCGTTCCTGCAAACAGTACAGCCCCCAAGTACAGGTGAGCCAGAATCGGTTGTTCCTACCTCAAATCAACCAACCGTATAAACACACGTCAGCAGACCGGCACTATTTGTGGTGGTCAGACACTACGAACCGACCTCCTAATACGTCAACAAATACAATGCTGTTACATCAACGCTCAGGGGCTATATTCTAGGCTTTCGGAACTGCACCAACTACATGAAACAACAAATTGGGACGTCATATTCATAACAAAATATGGTTCTCAAGCGACATACTAGGTATGGAGACTAAGCTCAGTCAAATATAGGTTAAGAACATGATCGTACATCTCGCGATGGCAACTTTGCCATCTACTATTGAGATTGCTTGAAACACGAGACTCTTGCCGAGCATTCTCTCATTATTCCCGACGCAATAACTTGCCGACTGCAACTAGCTGGTCGAAGTGGGTGGATCACAGAAGAAGACGCGTGATGTTTGCCTCGGAGCAGTTATCATAGATGCCGCCGAACTCCTCCGCAGACAGTGATGACCTTTTGTTAAACGCTGTCTACTGTGTTGTTTCAAAAATGTACTATCATTATTTTATAATGCGTGACTTCAAAATACCTTCAATAATATCGGCGTCCTCCAGTGGGCCATCATTTAAATCAAACCTTCTTGAATTCATGAATATGACAGTTTGGTGAACGCATGTGCATCGACCTACCATACACCGCGGTTCAAACAAGTCATCACTACTGGACCTAATCCGGACAAAAGAAGAGTTGATGGTTGAGTCTGTAGCGAAGGTTTGGTTAGATGTGTTATGCCAGTATTGTTGATGAAGAACGAGAGACTCAACAGACTATTACTGACTAATCAAAGCTTCACAACCTAGTGACAACATTTGACTGGGACCTCCAGGCGCGCAGGTCGGCGAATGACACACGGAATAAAGTGAAGGTGAAAGTAACTAGGTTATACAATCAGCCTCAAAATTTGCACCATTACGAGTATCTTGGATTCGAAGCAGGATACGCAACTGGATTAATAGATGAGATTTGGAGGCCACATACGCTAAGGCAATGGAAAAAGTACAAAACAAACAGAAACTACTGCACGTCACTCATTAGAGTCGAAAGTGTGCATGGAGGAGGACGATGGTACTAAAGTTGAGGAGAAACATTAAACTGCTTTACAGGTATGCGAACGACAAAACAAAGGTTATACCTGGAATACACAAGACGGCCAGTAGTCTGATAAATACTGCTGTGGATACGGCGAACGCTCTACTCCTGCCGTTCGGCCTGGTGATGGGGCCCTGCCAACCGCCGACCTATTACTCTGTCTCCTGTTTTATCACCAGTGATGGAAACAGTAATCGCCGATGAAGTGACGAGATATTTTGAAGTCTGCAGATACTTTTAATGTTCAACATGGTTTATGACGCCGTTGATGTTGCGTCACCAATCTGCTGCTTACTTGGGACGCATGGACCAGGGCGGCTGATGATGGGGTCCCCATAGATGTGATTTACTTAGACTTCTGATGCATTCGACAGGGCCAATCACTTCTCTCCTCCACAAGCTTGCTGCGTATATTAGCAAACGTCTTCTGCTCCCCTTGTTGGATGGTTACTTGTGCAGCAGAACAATAAAGGTAAGAATAGCCGGCACTCACTCCGAAAGCTTGTGCGTCTCCAGTGGTTTACCGCAAGAATCTGCGCTCGGTTCGCTACTGTTTTTAGTCTACACCAATGAAAATCCAGCAAATATTATATTTCCGATCCAAATATTTGCAGATAATGTTAAAACATGGTGAGCAATCCGCTCAGCACCCAACTGTGCTTAACTCCAGAACAATCTGGACCGGCTTAACGAATGGGTGGAAAGGAATCAGCTCCATTGAAGTCTGCCATATGCTACCTGCTGACGATGTGTAGCAGTTTCAGCAACGTATATCTTCTGGGACAGCACGTTTTGCGACAGGTGACTAGTGAACGAGACTTAGGTTTCATCGTACAAGAAAATCTTGGCAATGCGCTCCAATATTAGAAAGCAGCGAATGTAGCTAGCTTGAACTTGAGGCTTTTGAAGCGAAATCTCTGCACATTTGAGCCACGGCTAGTATCACTACTGATTAGCTCGTCTATTCGTCCCAACTATGAACATGCACTTCGGGCCTGGCGCCCATGGTTAAAATGAGACATTCATCTTTTGGAGCAGTCACCATGACAACGCGTGGACTATCCGATCTCAGCTGCGAACTGCGCCTCCTTTTACTCGATGTGTTCTCCTCGAAATACCGAAGGTTTCGCGGTGACTTAATCCCCACCTACTGGATACTAACTAAAAGGGAGCACCCATGTACATCACTGTTGACTTTAACCTCTTACAAACAATGCCGAGGCAACCACCTGAAACTAGTGACGCAACCCTCCCGTTTGAAGAACAGCAAGTAATTTTACTCTCCTCGCAACTGTTCCCACTGGAATGCACTACCAACGCAAGTAATGAACGCACCTGACATCGCAACATTCCAAAGAATATTAAAGTTTATCTCAGTGATAAACGCTACACAACTTTATGATTAAATGCAATATCTACTATTGATAATTCACGTTCTCTGTTGGAAAAATTCGAGTTACGTTGCTTTTGCATTTGCCCTCCTATGGGTATTGTAAATTTATGTCTTTTATCCCAATCATACAACATAGAACTATTAAACATACGCGGACCTATGATAATACTGATACATTTTAAGAAGCCTGTTTAACTGACGCACAGAGCAAGTTAACAACCTATAGGTCATAAAATAGCTAATTCTAATAAAATGCTATCCGTCGCAGTCGTCTTATTTCTAACATTCTGAAATTTGTTAGTCTGTAATGGTAACAGCAACACTTACTTTCTTAGGGCCGCACTTTAACAGCAGCTGGCTGGGCCGCTACTTCTCGTTGATCCTGGCTGAACACCTAAGAGTAACTGTTGCTATGCCTCCAACTGAAGTGTTTAACGCTGGCAAACGATCTAGCATTGGCCAATCACTTGCTTAATGATCACTAAATGGGTACTGTTCTCATCAGGTGGGCGAGCAGGAGGTGGAGACTGCAAAACCTAAGGGATAATCGGTCGATGTAGGAGTATGGGAACGTCGAATTTGGTCAAATGACTCGGACCTATCAACCGAACATGCATCACACAGTGACAGGTTAAACTCACTTCTAATAATAATTTTAGTTTAGTCATATCGTTAGACAGAATCAGGTAATCTCGCCTATCCAACCAGTTCAGCGGCGGGTACATTCCTAAAAGTAGAAGTTGTATGATTGCACGAGGCAATCCGGACGTTCCATTTAGCAAGCATAAACTGAAAACCTTATCAGATCTGGTTGTTTCCAGAGCGTAATATTGTACTGGGGTTTTCGATAACAGCAATGAGAAATGTGCTTGTGCTTCCAGGTTATGGGATACGACGGTAGAAACATTTGGTGACAACCATTATTTCTTTAGCTCTAATGACCACGATGACTATACTGAAACATTTGCCAAAAGATGCATCACAAACCGGAGTCAAAAGTTGAGCAGAACGAAACGGAAACTGCCAGTTCCATCAAAACTCGCTTTAGTAGTTTGCTTTGAAGAGACAAAACTCACTTTTTGATATCGGCGGTAGAAAGCTTCACGGATTTCATGTCGTTGCATTAGCGAACGATGAGAGAGGAGTTCGTTGATTGCATCCTCATCGGTGTCTATCGAGATAAAAGTGCACTAATGACTCAGCTGAAGGCTTTTAACAAACATTCCGCTACGATAAACATAAAGCGATTCAAGTCAATTCAAGTCAAAGTATTTGCTTCTATGCATCAATGAAGGATGAATTTTTAGAGACAGAATAGGTCAGCTTATGATTCTACCGACACAAGAACCATGTGCACATGTTAGAGTTGAGCTAAATCCACATTGTCCTTTTATGTCTTATATTTTTATGTTTTATGTTTACACGTTTTCAGTGAAAGGGGTTGAAGACATGGTCATAGCAGCGCCAGTTGATCTTTGCGTATTAGTAGGTAGCAGGTATGGATAAGGAGATTAACTAAGCAGCAGTCTCTAATGTTATTGCAGTGGTGTTCAATGCACCGAGTCTACTATCTTACAAAAAAGCGTCGTCAACTACATCATCGTTTCTCACCGAGCCGACTGCATCAATAACGCGGCTCATCTGCGATATGTTTAATTTAAAATCGTTCGTAAAACTCACTTAATCCTTTGCACGCTTTGTATAACGTATCCGCATCCGTGTCTGGATCGATGCGCGAAGGAAAGGTGACAGTTCCCCGGGCGCTCATGAATTTTCTGATGCTCTTCTAGTATGATAAGGGACGATTGGGATAGAAAAGGGAGTACAGTGGCCTGTCCATGAGGACAAGTGTGACATACTTCATGTCTATGTGCTGGAAACAAGCGATGTAAAACGCGAAAAATCTAGGAGGAACTTCAGCTTCGAATTACACACGAGGCAACTATGGCTGAGGTGACCTGAATTTGTTACACACAATTCCTTTTGATGATGCTCTTAATTCACAATGGGTGCGCATCAAAGATACCCTAATTACTGCCAGAAATGATAGTTGTGGAGTTACCTGTCACCCGCCGAAAAGCTGGATCACCTCTGTTTCGTTGTCGCTATTTGAAAGGCGCCGCTCGGTCTCATCCGACGCCAGTTGTAGTGACTAACGTCGATCCGCGCATCGAGAATTGTGCAGAAGTTTAATAAAGGACCGTGAATTCTGATGGTGTGAAAGTGCTCGAGAGATGGAACTTGCTAGTCTCTCTGGTAATAATAGAAAGCTCTTCGATCTCATCCGAGTCCCTGAATGTTTCCGATCTGGGGTAAGGTAAACAATCTGCGAGAGGTTGGCTCACTGCTCACTAATATTCAACGACGGTTTGAACGATGGGCTGTACATGTTGGCTCACAGTTTTGCTGGCCGCCAACCCCAACCGCTTCACCTCGAGTGTGCAATGGTGCTGATTGGTCTCTCTCCACGGATTCTCCCTCTCACCAGCAAATCTGGCAGGAGCTCCGCTCTATGAAGCGTCAGAGAGCACCCGGCTCTGATGGTTTACCTCCTGTTCTCTTTAAATGTGTGCCATTCACTGGTTCAAGAACTCACCGCTTTGTTTTTTAAAGTCTGGTCAACAGAAGAGGTTTCATCGTCTTAGGATGATCTGGTCGTCATCCCCAATTTCAGAAATTGCCTGAACACAATATGCTCTAGATACAGAGGTATAAGTTTGGTTAGCACAGTTTGCAAAATTCTGGTGTCCATCATACTTCGCAGGCTATCCCCAATGCGAATTACTACAACGGAAAGGATAGGCTCCATTCCACCATGGTCGCGGGTGCATTGATTAAATTTACACACTCTGCCAGATCCTCGAGCTCCGCCATATGTACCAAAAACCAACGCTTGTCTTGTACCTGGAAATCTGTGCTAGGTTCGATTCAGTCGATAGGGCTGCATTGTAGCACTGTCCGTTGTGAAATGGCCTTCCCCGGAAGTACGTTTCCGTACTACAGGCTCTGTATAGTATGACCTCAGGTAGAGTTAGCGCTTCTGGCAAGGTTTCGCCTTGCTTTGTTGTCACCAGTAGTGTACGACAAGAATACCCTATCACTCCATTCCTTTTCAATGTTGCAATTGGGGCTATCCTCAAAAGTGCACTAGAAGAGTCGCTGAACGCTGACATTGAGCTCCTCCCAGGTAGTCGAGTAGTTGTCTTGGATTACGCTGATGATATCGTCTTACTGAGTGATGATCCACAGGCCGTCCAACCTGCACTCAACCGCTCGGCGATTAACACGTCAAAGTATGTGATTGCTTTTTCCCATCCGAATGCAAAACACCTTTTCGAGACTGTTGAATGCCTATACATCCTGTCACTCTCGTTGGCGAGACACTGGAGGCTGTGGTTGCATCTATCTAGGAAGTTGCATCACTGCTGTTGAAGCTGTTGGAGAGATTCCAGTGCGTATCCCAAGAGCTTCTTTCGCTTTCTCTAAGCTGAGACACTTGTGCCGCCGTCATGACATCCCTTTCCCCATCAAAGGGCAGGTTTATTGTGCAACTGTCTGCGTTGTACCGTTGTACTGTTGCGAGACATGGTCTGCCCGAAGCGTTAACCTGAACCGGCGGTCTGTCTTGGAGAACCGTTGCCAGCGATCCATTCCCCGCGTGTGTTGGCTACACACGTAATCGATGCGGAAGTTAGACAGCGTAGCTTGGGGAGAAACAGTCACTAGCTAGAGCAGATTTCATAGCTGCGCCAATTGCGGTGGCTTGGTCACGTATTGCTCATGTCTGCTGAGCGCCTTCTGCGTCGTGCATTGTTCACGGTTGCTGGCCAAGGTTGGAGAAAGCGGCGCGGTGAATAGCCTACGACTTGGAGAACTGGCATGAAAAAACTGACGAGGCAGTTAGCTTAGGTCGGTAGTTCTCGGCTCCCTGGTTGTGGTCCCATAGATACGGAGTGTAGCTGGTTAGAGACCTTGGAAGTTATTGCTCACGAGCGACATCAAGGGGGATATGTATCTCTTCGGGTTGCGGTGATTCCCTTTCCCTCTATTGATAAAACGAACTGGAAAAACTTCGAATGTAAGTGGAAAACTGGACAAAAGGTTGCCTATTATTTTATTTTCTTATTCTTATCCGGTTTTCATATTTTACCGTGGTTCAGATGGAGCAATATATGTACCACAGATTATATATATATATATATATATATATATATATATATATATATATATATATATATATATATATATATATATATATATATATATAGGTTAGAACATAAGTCTCAGCTCAGTCACACTGTTGCAAGGCTTTTTCAAGCTGCACGAAATCTCATTACTTAGGAGCCTTTGGTGTCCAGAGGGCATCAGAATTTCCAGTTATCTTGTCATTGTGAAGCAACGTACTTACAACTAGCTGAACGTCAAATGGATTCAACTGCAATTTGCGCATTAGTTCACACGTCGTTCTGTCATAACTGAACACCACGTGGACTTCGGTACTGGTATGCAAATCCCTCTCATCTTTATAAGTCATTGCCTGCTCTGGGCAAGTTGCTAGTTGGCTAATTATCAAGGAGCCATCCAGGCTTCCTTGGGCAATGCGTGCTCAAGAGATGCGCCCGGTTATCATATTGTATCATGAAATGCCATCATAGTCATTGAGCCTGGCTACTGCGGTGCAGAGGAACTTGACGAATTTGATGCAAGTGCGCAGAGGTGTAGCAAAGGGGTGGGGGACAGTCCGCCCTGGGCAGCATGTTACAGGGGTGGCGTTTTTAGTACCGTCGATTTTCGATGCCAAATATAAAGTGGAAAATATCCGGAGAAGACAATGGTCGAAGATTTAAATGTTACCCTGTGTGACCAACAACCCGTATGCATCTTATGTCACATCAGGGCAAAGGTGCTTCCCAGCGATTCCCTTACTTGTTCCATTGTGCTCACGTTTAGCACATTCATCCCAATGTCCAAAACGCTCATCCATTTCATCGAAAATTAATCTGCACTTTACTCTGAGCCTTCAAGCACCCATTCTGCCCTCACTTAGGGAGAAAGTAGTAACGTGCCTCTGGCGGCAAAAGATGTTCTGCGCCAATGGAACAACATTGATGTGAAATGATTTCAGGGAAAAATTCAGTGAGGGAACCGAACCAGTTCAGATCTTTCCGAACAGACAATGGGGAGGGATTTTCCCATCTATTATTCAAAAATATTTTGAGAGGATTCCTCACAGCAAGAGTCCGCCAGACAGCTACCGTACATCCAGAAAAGCGCTAGACGGCCGTTTCGCCTCATTGAGACTCGTCGTTAGCTCGCACCCGCCGGATTCTGCTGGATCCAAACTCATAACTTTACCCTTACGAGCCAGCGATTTACGCTACTGAGTCATGGGTGACGGCGGCGGACCGCCCTGACTGATACTTAGCTACGATATAGCGCGGCTCATCGTCCACTTCCACGCAGGTTATGAACTCGCAGATGACAGGGCTGGCCTGCATCACGAAATCCAACTCGATTATATGTGCAGGCGATCGGAACTGCTTCATCAAGACGGAACCGAAAAAATTCGGTTTAGGCACGTTGTCCACTAGTGATATACTAAAGACTTTCTTGGCAGGGGGTGAATTAATGGTGTTAAGTTTCATTTTTACAGCTCTGCTCTGAAGCTTATTCGAGGAAGAAAATCACAAAACTGCTGAACCGCTCAACCAAGACAATTGGGTAAAGCCCTAAAGATGTGAATGTATGTATTTAAAGCATTCTCGACCTCCAGCTAACGAAAGTGGCTTTGATACTTAAGGGAAACTAGAGCAGATACTATATAAGGGAATGATTCATCGACACTTCTGGGGATATTTTTTTCAGGAGCAGCTTCCAAACAAAGAAAGTTGTCCACTCGATGGAACATTCAAGTACTGATGCGCCAGTCCTAGTTGGAACATAATTATAATAATAACATACTAAGTGACCTGGCCTCACCACCCAACCCGAGCTACAGGTATTCCGCTGAATTGTCTAAGTTTGGGTCATCCAATCTGAATTTATGGTGAGGCAGTTGACCTTGAGTTCACTGCAGAAAATACAGCCTTCCCAGTAGTAGTTTGGCATCCAAAATTACGAGGGCAGGTCAATAAATATCTGGATATTCAGTATACAGATTAATTGCTAATGACTTTGCAAGAAAATGTGAACTGTAATCATTTCAGAACATTGTTCAGCGATTTCAACTTACAGAACCCTATTGCAGCATCCAGGCACAGCTCACATGTCATAAGGGTCGCTGTACTCTGACTGTAAGTATGGAACTCAGTCGATGTCACTGGACGGCGATGAGTTTCAGTGGCTACAAATGTTGTCTAAAGCAGCGCCAGAGTGTTGAGCAATTGCGTGCTGTGTTTGGTGATGATACTTTTTAATAAGCACTGTGTCCTAGTGGTTTGCGGGATTCAAGCTTGGCACGCGGTCCCTAAATGATGAGGCCCAGTGTACTCAACCTGTGGATGCTACCACCGCGGACAACATTGCTACTGCGCAAGCTATGCTGGAGGAAGACGCGCGGGTGACTCTGGTACAGCTGGGGACAGCCATCGGGATCTCACCGAGATCAATCGGCACCATTCCACATGAGAACCTCGACTTCAGAAAGGTTTGCGAACTCAGCATATTGGGGACCAGAAAGTAGCTCGGATGAATTTGGACCGCAACACGGTTGCCAGCTTTGATGTTAGACGTTCTAATGCTGTTTTTTGGGTCCTCAGTGATGATGAAATCTGGATGTACAGTTTCAACCCAGAGAGAAACAACCGGCTCAGTAGACGGCCGTTGTTGGGGCCCCGTTTCAGAAATTCCGGCTTGAGCGCAGGGTGGCCAAGCAGATGGCGGCTGTGACTGGGGCTAAGACCGGTCATGATGCTACTATACCGCTGGTACGGCAACGCACAGTCACCGGAGACTGGTATGCCATCCACTGTCTGTCAAAGGTGTTGGAAACTAAAGCCAGGCGTGGTCCAAGGACTCGAGCACGAAGGACCTTGCTGCCCAAGAACAATGCATCTGCACACAGGTCCCAAGTCGTCGTAGACTTTCTGGCTAGAGAACACATCCAAGAGCTTAGTCACCCACCCCACTATCCAGACCCTGCTCGGTGTGACCATTTTGTGTTCTTAAACGTCAAGCACATGACGCATGGGATCAGGTACAGGTCTCCAGAAGCTGCACTAAGGGTCTTTATTTAGCTGCTCGAAACGACTCCCACTTCGGCATGGTCTAGCTGTTCCTCCAAAAGGTTTGAGCGCGTGGGACTGTGCATGAAAGCTGGTGGAGAGTACTTCGACAAAATGTAATGCATTTTTTTATTGTAAACAATAAAAAATTTTGTTCGTCCGGAAACTTATTGCTGTACCTCTCATATACAGCAAGATACCGTACTTCAAGCTACACATTGAAGCATTTTGCCTAATCTAAACCTTAGGTCTTGGTCTTAACGTGCAATTTCAGTTAGTGCTTCGATTGAAGTGAACATCAATCCCAGACATCCTTATCGTCTGGACAGCATCCTATTGTGTGGATGTTAGGTCCGTTTACAACTTACTCTAAAGCTTTCTGTTGAAGCCTAATTAACACGACATGTGATCTACACCAAGCGAGCCACACGCAGACGTAGAAATAGCATTTCACCGCTGTTCATGAGCACGGTGCGCGCCCAAGCACGAGGAAAACATGAGTGATTGATAAACTATTTTGTCTCACGCCCATTTATCAAACAGACGTCTTTATGTCTCATCAAGATGAATCACACGCGACTGGTTGACTGGACAATTGACGCGCAATTAATCGGCCACGTTCTCAGAGCTCGCGGCGGCGGCCGTCGTACGCAACCACACCGGATCCGATTTGGACTCCTAGCCGTCATAGTAGCACACGGGATAAGTTCAATTATTTCATGTATCCTTATTAACTGCATATTGGTATTTTATTTAGGTTAGTGTCTAAGCTTCTATGTTCATAATTAGTGTTGATTTAAGCGACACTTATAGTGTACAAATGACGTAGCTTGCTAGACAATCGAAGCACCCTACCTGAAATACCAAGATAAATAAAAAATCCTCTTGTTTGTTTTGATGTTTGAGACACAACACACCTAAAACGTATCACTGTTTCGGACGCTATCCAAATATGCAAAAAGTTATGGGTTTAACCTCATTTAATATGGGTCCAGTTGGGAATGTCTGTGGCTATTCGAACATACTGAATAATCCAAAGGAATATGTGACTACTGGAAAAAAGTGATTCCGATTCTTTCATCGCCATTGTTTACGTCTGCCATTATCCAAACGACGAGGTTACTATTAATCGATTATTCGATCACCACTCGGCTTTTGGTTTTACGCCTATATGTGTCCGAAAGAACAATGCGTATGCCTTGCAACCGGGAGTTCGCGGGTTCCAGCCTACGTAGGGGCCCAGGCGACCATCACAGTATCCTCAGTCCATGGGCGACTTGTGATGGTTACGCGGCAGCGAAGCGTCGGTACGACGTACCAGCCTAGTGTTGATGCCTGTCTTCCTGGTTTGATTGCCAGTCCATGTACTCGTTTTCAAAAGAATGCGAAGTTAAGTGTAGAGGGCATTTCTAACATGGAACAATAAGAATAGCCAGTAACCATCCAAAATAGCTACGCTGGTGCATACCTAGGCAACTGCCTAATGAGGAACTCAGACTTGGCCAATTAATTCACTCGTTATGCTTTCTTGGGATTCGGACCAAGTAATTGAGGTTATCATATGGGTAGCAGTTTCTTCCACGGACATCGGAGTATGCAGAAAACCCTGCATACTATTAGTGTCTTTTAAAGGTTATATACCGTCCTGGAGCGCCAGATTTCAAACTATGATATCCGAAACATTAAGGGGTGGAACTTTTGCGCCTGAAAAAGTTCGGTGTATTCCACATCATGTTTGGACTGTTAAAAGTGGCAGATAAATTGACTAGAATGTGTTACTACTCTCAATGTTCGTAGAGACCTTGGGTGTCAAAGAGGCGCTGGACGACTGACATTGGACTCACTATGCTGCAGTAATCTACGGACTAGTTTTGAAGTTGGTCGGAGTTAAAATTGCAGTCGCTCAGTGGGAAATTCGCAGGCATTTTAAAAACCTGCATACTTTTTCCGCTAGAAAAGTCAATTAAGCATTGACAATGTGTACTTGTCAACAGATGAGTTAAACCTAACTGGAATATCGCTGATTGCACCACTTACAATAACTTTTCGTATACTATGGTAAGTGTTCCAGCAAGTGGTGGGTTTTCGCCTGGCAAGCGTTCTCCCTCTAAAAACCGCAAATGTCTGTTTAACAACACTGCGACGTGGCGGATGAGACACGCTATCAAAATAAAGACACTACCCACTGCTTTACACTGTCAAGGGGTTCAATATCTGAAGTCCATGATCACAGCATCAAATGCACAAATGAATCCTTGTCGTCGTATTTAACCGTGAGATCTCGAGCTTCCGTCCAACAGTACTTAACACGTATATTCTAGGCTTCCTATGTCTAATAAAGAAGTGGAGTTAAATATCCGGAACCATTGGAAACACCCACCCAGCTTTTCCATAACAATAACACCAGTAGATTCTACCGCGTTTGTGTGCCAAATTCCTCTCTGACACCAATGAACATACCCATCATTCTTGTATTATTCCTATGCGAAAACTATGAACAATTTTTCGAGCCGTGTGTTCTGCAAACAGCCACCACAGCAGTTTGATGTGCTTACGCCTACAGTGTTCCTGTAGCTCTGTCAGCCACGTGGTCATGCCTGTACGGGTGTCTCGTTTCTACAGGAATAACACTGTATTTATTTAGGCTACTCTAAGCTATGATTTTGAAAAGTTCAGCTGCATGCAATTAACTTTTAGCATCCTTTTGCGTCAGCACGAACATGTCATGTGTATAGACATTCTGAGATATTTTAAGTATGGATCCCGGTGTGCATCGTAGTGTTTAGCTAGTAAGCTCCAATGGTGAAAAAAGTGAACAGCCGTTTCATACGAACCGAGCCTACGGAAATTGGCCCTACTGTCGACAGCTTGCGTGTCTGTCGTTCCTAATAGGACAGAAACTGCTTTCACAAATATCACATTAATTAGCTATGCTCAGGGACGTAGCAACAACTTTTGCCGCCCCGGGCAGTGGCAAACTTTTCGACCTGAATGATGACAGAATTGACACGTGAAGGTTAGACATTCTGCTTAGGGTAAATTGCCCATTAGTTTTCGATGAAATGGATGATCGTTTGGGACATTGAGGCAAATGTGGTGGAAGCGACCACAATGAGACAAGTAACCGGATCACTGGGAGAACGTTTGCACTGGTGTGACATAAGGCGCATGGGTATTGCTGGTCATACAGAGTGACTGTAAAATACTCAACCCTCGGCTTATCCGGATATTTCGTCCTTTAGATTTGATATCGAAAATCGACGGTACTAAAATTGTCGTCCCTTGTTACAAGTCGCCCCGGGCAAACCACCTCCCTCCCCCAACATGTTACGCGACTGGCTATATTGTACATGCTAGCAGCTCGTGTAATTCTGAATTTCGTTTATTCCCATTGGTAAACACGCAGTACGCCAGCGGGCCTCAACCAAAGTAGCCAGCACAGCACTTGAATCATCAATTGTCTTAGGCTTTTCTAGTATAAAATTTCAAGCGTTCACCGTTGCCCGAGCATTGTGCAATGCTGCTCAGCTTGGATGTATTTGTTAAGGGGGCTTGCGGCAACCTTGAACAAGTACCTAATAACATGGATCATGCGGTAAGAACTGTGGAGTCTCTAGTCACAATATTCATTCTTGCGAATTGTGAGGAAAAGTTGGAAAGATTTAAAATATCTATCCCATCCCATCAGCCTGTGGTGCTTAAGTAAAACGTCATACTAACCAACGCTTGTGTCGCTGGTACAATGCACGATCGATATACTCACTTACCAAAACCCCAGGATGAAAATCCAAAAGTCACATCTGACGGACTCAAAGAGTTAACTGCTCAAATACCCCGACAGCTCCGCCTCGCTCTTCACCTGACAGCAATGATACACACTCACCAAACAGAGCGGCTTCGGTTCATTCGTCCTTGTGTGTTTGTATGCGTTTCGAGGCAGTGCATTCCGGTACGAAAAATCAATACAGGAACGCCAGATTATTTATGGCTGCACAGTTGTTGGCAGAAGTCTGACTGCTCTTGCACACAAGGGCGCAACAAACGCACCCGGGAACCCATTGGATCAAGCCACTTTTGTTAATGCGTAAAAACGTTGTAACCAGTCAATGGAATCCGTACTTGCGTCTTTATTTTCGGGTATGCACATCAAGTCTATTAGCCGACAAAGTGAAAAATTGTGCTCACAATCCAAACGGAAGACTGAGGCCGTGAGGCTTAAGAATTGAGGACGCAATGAGACACGATAGATAACCAAAGAAAAAAGGAGTTTCGGGTTAATTTATATTGCAAAACGAAACGATTTTGTACACGCATCTCATGTGACTAGTTAAGCGTGCTTCATGTTGCGTAGTTCCCAGGTTTGAGGAGACATACAACGAGGTTATTTTAAGGGGAAGAAACTGACTGAATGTCGGCATATAATGTTGACCACTCATGCGCCCACGGAATCCCCATTTCACAAGAATATTAGCTGACTGCATTCAGTGAAAGTAGAGATTAGAGTTGGAAGCTGACCTTACTTAGCAGACTTTCAGTGCTCTGTGTCACATCAGCTCATGTGGTGTTGCTGTCATGACGATTAATACCATTTCTCCTTCAAGTTGTCCCCTTAAGCAACAGAATTAGGCTGAACGGTAAAGGAGTTGCTTCGTTACTCAAGTGCTTTGAGCCGGCCGTGTGACGCTCACTTATGCAGGTGTGTAGGTGTGTGTATAGCCAAGCGCCTTCAGCCAATAGGGCCCCAGACTCACCAAGTGTGCGCACCGTAGGGACAGTGGCGTAGCAACTACATTTTCCGCCCGGGGCGGTGGCAAAATATTTGCTCCTCGTGGCTGTTGTAAATCTGTGATCCCACAAAATCAACCCAGGGTAAAATGCACATTGGTTTTTCATGAAATGGATGATTGTTTGCGCCAATTGGGTAAATATGATGTAAGTGACCACAATGGAGCAAGTAAGGAGATCGCTGGGAAAAACGTTCGCACATGCGCGACATATGGCGCAAATATGTTGTTGGTCATACAGAGCAACAAGAGAGCAACATTCAATCTTCTCCTTAACGGGAAATTCCGCCCTTTATATTGGGTATCAAAAAATCAACGGCACTAAACTGTCGCCCACTTACACATGCCGCCCGATGGGGACCGCCCACTCCGCCCCCCTATGCTGCGCCTCTGCGTAGGGGGTGCAAGTGGGGCACCTTAGCCTATACGTGGTACGACTTCGGCTGCTAACACACCACGTGGCGAGACTGGGTGGAAGGTTGATTGGCGATAAATGGAATACCACGTACGGAAAGGAATGCATTGCGCACGGCAACGTTAAGGGTGCCAACAAAGCAATGCGACACCCCATTAACTATCTGCTGGCTGGTTTGGCACTATGTTCGAGCCCGAAAGTTGCACAGCCGAAGTGTTATGACGATGTAACAGCGCTCGGGCTTGACTAGGCATACGACTGTACTGTGTTCGGATTGCAAGAGTCACAGATGCATGACTGCGAACGACCGGACCCTGTGGTACCAAAAATTTACACCGTGCTTGTCATTTCTTCATATGAGGAACATTGTGGAATTACACGAATGTAGTGCACGTTGTCGCCTCGCATACCCATTTTAGTTGCCGGGTTTTACAGTGGGTCCGATATGTTTCCATCTTTCCACGCAATCCAAACACGACCAGTACCTTTCAACAACGCATTTGAGCGCATATGGGAAATACCAGCGCCCCTAACTCTTGTCCGGCTATCCAATCTGCAATTTATATTGGATCGAAAATTCATGGATTCGCACCCCCTCAAAAAGCAGGCGCAGGAACGTAAATGTTTTATCTCCAATGTAAGTTGTTTAGTTGATAGTCAGGCAAGCGTTGGGGACGCTGGTATTTCCTATATGCGCTCAAGTGCGTTGTTATAAGGTTCTGGACGTGGCTGTTTGCGGGGAAATATAGAGACAGATCGGACCAACTAGAACACCGTGTGAGGGCATGATAAATAAATACACTCCTAACACGGGTGTGTGGCAAGCAATTATAACTGACTGCCTATCGTTGTTTGTGCCTGGAGAGCCATTGGTTAAGGTTTTGATAAGGGCATAATATAAAAGAAATTCGGACTGCTCAGACTTGAAAATGAACAACGAACAATGATTTATCACGGGATAAAAGCAAGTGCTTGAGACATCCCGTAGGACGGTTGGGGTGAATATGATGAAATCAAAATATATCTGTGTCATCTACCGAACGTTTGCCTAGACGTATACTTCGATAAATTATATCACTGTAAAATTTAAAAAAAATCTAGCGTAAACCTTCAGAAAGATACTGGGATGCGCCGATCGTTGATATAAGGCGTGATAAAAGTAAAATATGGTCGCTCACTTGGGTCCATTTGATCCAAAAGTCCTGTTGAAAAGCATGCTTGGCGTAATCCACAATAGAGGACTTTAGGTAACAAAATGCTGGGAGCTAAGAGCAACATCTAATGGCTTTTTGAAAAGGTCCAAGGTAGGAGAGGATATAACTGAGTCTGGGAGTGCGTTCCAGGGTTGGCAAACCCGAAGGGAAAAGTATTTCTCTCGACACTCTAGACAGCTATATTGTTCCTTCAGATTTAAGCAGTTACCCCTGGGCTACGTGTTGTGGCTAAGTTTCAGCAAATGGCGGCATACAGGGTTGGGATCACTCAATATCTGATACGCTAATATGAGATCACCGCTCAGCCTTCGATAGCGTCCGCTGAAAACTCCCAGTAACTTCAGTCTTTGGTGGTAAGAGTGATAGCGCACGCCCTTTACATTGTTTGTTGCTCTTCGTTGTGGTGCTTCTAACGCTTCTAGGTCGTGATTCAACCAAGGATGTTAAGCTTGGATTGCGTATTCAACATGCGGCCGCACGTAGGAATTGTGCATCATTGGGACCATTGATGGGTCAAATCTCCCGAACGCCATTCGCAGTATGCCGACGTGCTGGTTGGCTCTTTTTTTCAGCTACCTCAGTCTGTTTCGAACAGTTGGGGTCACTCTGTACGATCCTACCAAGGTCACGTTCCTGGGAGCTGGTCTGCAATCCGTTCGTCCCAAGTAAATCGGTGTAGTTATGTCTATGGCGTAATTGTACAACGCGACATTTGTCTACGTTGAATGTTAGGGCGTTTTGAACTGACCAGTTCGACACTGTGTTAAGATCGCACTGGAGCCGTTCGTGGTCGTCCGGTCCTCTGATCCTTCGCCATATCTTGATATCATCAGGGAAAAATAGGAAATCAGAAGCAATTGATCTCGCCAAATCGTTAATAAACACCAAGGATAGACGAGGTCGAAGCACCGAGCCCTGTGGTACTCCACACGCCACATCGATTGCTTCAGACAATAATTCTCGGACTCTCACCACTAGCCGTCTTTCGTGTAGCAAATTTATAATCCAACTCTGGATTGGGTCGCCAATGCCGTAGTTCCGAAACTTCTGAAGGAGAATGCTTAGGTCCAAGCGATCAAACGCTTTGGAAAAGTCCAGGTAGATGACATCGACTCCCTATTCCATCATCAACAGCTTCAGTCCAGCTATTACATGCAAATTAATGGATTAGTATTACACGAATGCTTTTGACGAAAGCCATGTTGCTCTGGAGCTATTAAGTTGTGGCTTTCCAGATACTGCATCAGCGCATCTGCGATGATTGATTCCATCACTTTGGATAGTACGGGAAGTAGTGTTATTGGACGGTAGTTGGCAGGATCAGTGCGGCTACCTCCTTTATGGATAGGAGTGATGACCTCCTCGCTTCCATACTGGTGGAATATGGTTCTCTTCTAGACATCGCTGATAGAAAACAGCCAGTGGTTCTGCTAGATCACTAGCTACCGCCTGCAGAGCCTTTGGTCGGATGTTGTCGGCTCCAGGAGAACTGTGGATACGCAAGGATAACAACTTCTTCAACACAGCTTCCGCAGTGAAGGTGATGTTGTCTAAACCCGACGGTGGAGTAATAGAAATGAGGAGAATATTTGGGCTCGTTACCTGCTGGAAAGTTTGGGAGTAATGAAGCCGTAGGAGATCAGCTGCTTCCATTGCTGATCGCGTGCACCCATCAGCCGTGACTAGTGCTGGAATCCCGCGCTTCACCTTTCGAAGGCCGTTAACGTGCCTGTACAGAAGTTTGCGGTTCGTGCAGAATCGCTTCATTAACTCCTGCTGATGCGTGACTTGTCTTCGCGGATCAGTTTCACACAGAAGTTACGATGTGTCACGTATGCAGTCCAGGTTTCGGCATTCGGCAGTCCTGGTGATCTCGCCATGCCAAATCCCTCCGGGACATACATTTACGTGTTCTGCTCCTCAGAAATGACTTATGCTTGTTTTTGGGTTGGAAGGACTTCTGTTCCCATGCGTGCGCAACCAGTGTGCTAAACGTTCCTGTAAAGATTTTCCAGGCAACATCTGGGGGGGAATCAGTTAAGAAAGTCAAGATGTATCCTTAACAAGCTGAGATAACACCATTGTATTGCGTGACAGTATGCACTTTATCCCATCCTCCTTTTCAGGGTATTCCGCATAGCATGTATAATCAAATAATAGAGTAACATGATCACTACGACCCAGTGGTGTGCTTGTAACTACTCCGTCAACCATGAGTTCTTCGTTAGTGAGCACAAGATCCAGTATCGACGGCTTGTTAGCAGTTCGAAATCTGGTGGGAGAGGTTACGTGGTTGTACAGAGGGTGGCTAGCAATTAGCTCTTGCAAGCAGGCTTTAAACTGCGTACTGTCGGTTGCCGGCGTTTCTATGTCGTGCACGTTAAAGTCTCCAGCGATAAGAATGTGGGTGTAGGACTTGTTCAAAGCAAACTGTAAAACGTGCTTCAGTTTGGAGTCCATTTCCAACGTTGAGTT